AAGCTTTAATATTGTTTCATTTACGAATGTAGGTGCTCTTGTATTTGGGGCATAGATATTCAAAATTGTGATGTCCTCTTGTTGGATTTTTCCTTTGATGAGAATATAGTGGCCCTCCTTATCTTTTTTGATTAACTTGGGTTGAAAGTCTATTTTATTAGATATTAGGATGGCTACTCCAGCTTGTTTTCTGGAACCATTTGCTTGAAAAACATTTTTCCAGCCCTTTACTCTGAGGTAGTGTTTATCTTTGTTGCATAGGTGTGTTTCTTGGATGCAACAGAATGTTGGGTCCTGTTTCCGTAACCATTCTGTTAGCCTGTGTCTTTTTATTGGTGAGTTGAGTCCATTAATATTGATAGATAATATTGACCAATGCATGTTAGTTCCTTGTGTAATGGAGTCGATGATCTTACCTTGTTTCATTGCTTGTTTTCTTTTCATTTTTGTTGGGACATTATCTGTATGCCCTGTTTTCTTGGGTGAATTCGTTTTCGTTGGATTGGAGTTTTCCTTCTAGTATCTTCTGTAGGGTTGGTTTGCTGTATAGATATTGCGTAAATTTAGTTTTGTCATGGAATATTTTGTTTTCTCCATCTATGTTGATTGAAAGCTTTGCAGGGTATAGTAGTCTGGGTTGACATTTGTGGTCTCTTAGAGTCTCCATGATGCTTGCCCAGGCCCTTCTGGCTTTCATAGTTTCTGATGAGAAGTCTGGTGTGATTCTGATAGGTCTACCTTCATATGTTACTTGGCCTTTTTCCCTTGCTGCTTTTAATATCTTTTCTTTGTTCTGTAGATTTAGTGTTTTGACTATGATGTGACGTGATGTGTTTCTTTTCTGGTCTAGTCTATTTGGTGTTCTGTAGGCCTCTTGTATATTTATGGACATCTCTTTCTTTAAGTTGGGAAAATTTTCTTCTATGATTTTTTTGAAAATATTTTCTGGACCTTGGAGCCTGGAGTCTTCTTTTTCATCAATTCCTATTATTCTTAGATTTTGTCTTTTCATAGCATCCTTGATTTCTTGGATATTTTGTGATTGGAATTTTTCTGATTTTACTTTTTCTTTGAGAGAAGTATCAATTTCTGCAAGTGTGTCTTCAGCTCCAGAGATTCTCTCTTCCATCTCTTGTATTCTGTTGGTGATGCTTACTTTTGTGGTTCCTGATCTTTTCTCCAAGTTCTCCAGCTCAAGAGTTTTCTCACTTTGTGTTTTCTTTATTGATTCTAATTCTGTTTTCATGCCTTGCACCATTTCTTTTATGTGTTTGAATTTGGATTCCTGTCTCTCTACGATGGACTCTATTTCTTTGTTCATTTCCTTTTTGTATGCCACTAATTTCTTCTCTACTTGTGCCTCTATTTGTTTGGCTATGTTTGCCTGAGTTTCTTTAAGGGTTTTGTCTATTTCTTCTTTCTTTACCTCCAATTGACTGGCCATCTCTTTGAAAGATTTGTTCATTTCCTCCTTATGAGCCTCAAATAATTGAGCAAGCATGGCTTTAAGGTCATTTTCCTGTGCTTCTGATGAATTGGAATATCCATCGATTTTGGGGTTTGCTGGTGAAGTCATGATGTCCTGATTTATGTTGGAAATGTTCTTTCGCCTACCCCTGGCCATTGGCTTATCTGAGACCTTCCCTGTTTGTTTTTGGATTCAGCCGATCAGACTGGTACTGTCTCTCTCTCGAGTCTGGAGAATTCTTCAGGAAGTTGAGAGAGGTCCCGTGTCCTTAGCGTATGCTGAGGACTAGCTGTACCTGTGGGAGGAAAGTACGCAGGCGCAAACAGAGGCAAATGCAAGCGTGCGTGTGTGTGTATATGTGTGTGTGTGTGTGTAAGTGGGTGTGGGCGTGTGTCTCGAGGGACAGAGTGATGGCTAATGTTGAACCCTTGAGTGTGTGGGAGGGGCTCTGCAATGTATATGTCGCAGGCGCTAGTGATGATCGCAGCGCAATTTCTGGCATTAACTGCCTTAACTCCTCAATTAGACCCACAGAGCAGGAACTTCAATGTTCCAAGTGCCCCTCTGTTTCCCAAAGTGGGTATATGGGTGGGAGGGGGTTCGATGCCTGGCTTCTGTTTTAGAAGAAGCCAGGATCAGTGGAGCTGCAGATTCTCAAGGGTGCACTCACTTACAGGCAGGACACTTGGCAGAGATCGGCGTATCTGGGCTGTCTGCTCTCTGGTTTGGCCCTGCTTCTTTGATGTGCTCCGCCAGTTCCGTGCTGCTGTCACTGCCAGGTTATGAGGTCTTGCTGCAGCTTCCCCAAACAAGTCCCTGGGTGACCCGAGACCAAGGTTTTCACCTCCGGCGATGTTCCCTGTTGTTTAGAAAGTCTCTCCGTTGTTTCCCTGGCTTCAGAAGTTCTTCCACTCATCAACTCAGAACTTTTTCTCTTCCACAGCTTGGAAACTGTGTGTGCTAGTCGCCATCTTGGCTCCGCCCCCAGAAGATCTTTTAGTGTAGAGGATTGTTTTAGCGATACTGGATTTCTTGTTACTCCATACGATGTTGAGAATTTTTCTTCTTTTGGTCATTAAATTTTGTGCAGAATGTTTTTAATGCTGCAAAAACTCTGACGTTTTCACCATATTATTTTTCTTTTCTATACAGGGATATGTCACAAATTAATAAAAAATAATTCTATAATTTTACCTAATTAAAATAATTTAATTAATAAGAGTGTATGCAGTATTTTTGTCATCTAATCATATGATTAATATATGCCAGAACAAATAATTTCTTGGGTTTAAAAAATCTTTATTTAGTATACCAAAACACAAAAACTAAAGATCATATCTAATATAAACATAAAAAGTTAAAGACCATAATTAAATGTAAACAAAGCATTTAAAAGTTTGAAGTATTGTAATAAAATGCATGTTACTTACACAGAACAAAGTTAAAACCACCTCTTTAGTTACTGGATCAGATTATCAACCTTGAAAAAAATTATCATTTTCAATCCAAAAACACAGCATCTCCTTTTTTATTGGTCAACAAGAAAAGAAGCAATCATTTTATTTATTTAAAACATATATATTTTATTGTGACAAAAGCAAAAAGGGCCAGTGCAAGGATTCCAAACACAAGCATTGTAGGTGGAGGTCTGAAAATCATTCTATTGGAGGAACCTTGAGCAGTTCCTTTTATTTAAATATAAACTGCATAATTCCATTATTTACTGCTTAGAAAGGTATTAATTATATTCTGCAAAAATAAATCTTCATTAAAAATGATCAAATGCAAATGCAGTATTAATCAGGTAGGAAAGGCAAAGCATAAAATATATATTATTCCAGATAAACCCCTTACTTATAATAAATGTTAAGAAACTCATTTTATAAAACCAGAAGGGCCAACAAAGAGCATTTTTAAAGTATGAAACCTAAACTGCACTCACACACAACAACAACAACAAACTGCAAAGTAAAATTTCATGAAGAAAATAGTATTTTTACTATTCTCTCATTATGAAAAAAAGCTACTATGAAATTTATGGTTAGTATAATTTTCCCTGATCAACAATCTAAACAGCTGTCATTACTGATCAATTTAAACATTTAGCTTTTGTTTCAAAAATCATCATTCATTCTTATACTTCAGTTCAGGAAGTATTAAATACAATATTCAGCCTTCAAAATGTAAAATAATGTTACCAGAACAAAAACCTATCTTAGTGACAAAATGTACTGTTCTTTTTTCTAATCCTGAAGTTCTTAAAATTTGGTTTCTGGATCTCTTTTATACTCTTTGGGGAAACTACATTTCAAAAAACTTTCATAACAATCATTATTTAACATGTTAGAAATGAACTGAAAAAAATTAAAGCACTAAGTCACCTAAAATTAAATATATATGCTAATACAATTGGCATTTTATGAAAAATAGCTATATTTTCTTTTTTAAGAGATATGTGGAATGACTATTGTTCTCTATCGTTCAATTCTGTTTTGAGAGAATTAGAATAAAGAGACAAGAAATGTCTTCAGATACGATGAAACTATATTGATTTCACAGATTCCATGGAAGTCTGTCAGAGAACTCCTGGGATCTATGCACCACAATTTGAAAATTGCTGGTCTCATCTAAAACCTAAAATTAGTGTTACACACACACAAAATCCCCACAAAAAATAGCCTTGATGTTCAGTTATAAACAACCCATAACTTTTCTTGTACACTGGGTCAAACATCTCCAACTCCAGATTTAATTAGAAGGTAAAAATCACCATATAGTCAGGGAAAAATTCAAAGCAATATTGTCAAACTGAGACCATTATCGTTACAATATATATATACTTTTAATCTATCAGCCCTATAAACTAACTCAGGTACTTTAGTGTAATTCCCAGCATTACTTCATTCCATGCAGCACTGGAAAATATACTTAAATTGGCAGAGCTTTTGTACAGTCCAGATTATGTCTGAAGGTAAGTAATAGCCCATACACTCAGATTAGAAAAATATTAGCTATTTATGGAGCAGCCTGCTCTGTTTCTCATTATATAAAAGCTCTGATCAATTCTAGGGGAACAGGGAGAAATATCCCCTTGTAGCACAATAATACCATTAGGACCATACACTTAAATTTTAATTATTGTAAAAATTATGTGTACACATGCCATCTCATTCGACCTTTTAAAATTATTTCTGAAATCAGTTTATTTTGGCAGTTCATTCACAGCCTATTCTCTCTACTACAAGAGAATGAAGTAAAACTACTGCAGCTTAAAAAAAAATAGAATATAAAATAAAAGAGCAACAATAATGAGATCTATGTGGGACTAAACTATATTTAGTATGTATCTACTATAGCAGATACTGTGTAATCTTCCATCAATAGAACATCAACATAAAAGTCACAGCTTATAACTGACTGGAAAATTATGTATTGATAATTTTAAGTATAAGATTTTATCCTGTATAAAACATTAAGAAAATAATTCAAAAATTGGTTTTAAATTCTTGAGTGAATATAGTCTTAGTAGCAATGAGAAAATAATTAGTGTACAAAAACTGTTGCCCACTATACAATAAGTAATGGAATAGTCAGTGCCTACTCCCTGTCATTAACATAAAAATATTTCACCACATAGATTTACTTTTAAACAAGATGTTAATGTGAGTGGCACAGAATATTAAATGATGCTAAGCAAATTTTAATGGGACAGAGTGTGGTAATCAGCCAAGAAGAGGAAATATTGTACAAAATGAGCTAAATGCCCTAATGATCAATGATTTCCTTGTTTTGTACTACAGTCAAGTACATATGCTGAATGCTACATGCTTTGTCTCTGTCTCTCTGCGAGATATCTCTAAAATTGAGGATGAATCCATGCATACTTTTTTCTTTCAAGAAAGAAGTAATGGGATGTTAACCAACATATATAATTAGAAAACATGCATGTTGCTGACTATCACATAAAGTGCCCCCTGCCTCTTCAATTTGGTGAATAATGCTATCTTTACAGGTGTTGTGGTAGAAGTTAGTTGTACACAAACTGGATGGTGGACATACGGCAATATGTACAGATACACACATATGTATGTATTTTGTACAGACGTGTATGTCACCACAGTACATAAAGACTGTCACCGGCATGTCTTTCCTTCATGTTTCCTCTTGTAGAAATGAACACAGATGATGATTTTATAATAAGAAACAAAAGTAAAGGTAAATCAAACCAATAAATGTGAAGTGGTATACTGTGAGAGTCTAATAAAATAAGCCAACACATTTATGTAGTAGTAAAGTGCTAGAAAGTTCTTCCATTAATATTTTAGAAATGATTAGAGTAAAACGAGGTTTCCAGCTTCAGTTGAAAGTGGTGACCACAGGCACCATAGCAATGGCACTAGCTGAACTGGAGTTGACTATGTCCTCATATTCTGGTGGTGGGTCTAAATGAGGTTCTGTTTCACTCCTCAGGTTCACCTGGACAATGGCTTCCTCGTACGTTGGTGGGGGATCACAGTTGGAAAGACGAGTGGAGACTGAATCTGAGCGCCCAACAACGTATTCCAAAAAGCCTGGAGACAATCCACTGCTATCAAAGACTTCATCTGGTGGTGGAGGTGCTGTAATAATGTTAAGATGTTGAGGGAAAGGAAGGTGGCTTTCAGTCACTGTCTGTCTCCGAGTTTTGTTTCTTAGAAAGCATCTCCAGATTAAGAAGATGACAAGGAGAATAATGAAGAGGCCAAAGATTAATGGAAAAGTAAGATAAAATTGAAACCAGTCACTTCCTCTGCTCGTCTCTCCTTGCTGTGCTTTTGTGTAAGTGCTCCAAAACTCTTTCTATAAACACAAAACACACAAAATAAATAGAAAAAAATCAGTATGTTCAAAACATGGTAAATATGAATAAATGTCTGTATTCAGATATTGACAAAAAACAAAATCAGATGTGTTACTTCAAGTGACATAGATTTATTTTTCATACCAGTAAATTACAAATACAAAGCCCCTCATTATAATGAAGTTATTTTCAAGAAATTGATTATCAATTGAAAACAACATTAATTTGCTGCATTTAATAAACTTGACTATCAAGCATCATAGCTTATGGCTCAGTTGACTGAAATTTTGGGTCTCTTGTGATTTCATGGCTGATTAAGATGTAATGAAGTGCTTCAATTCCTTGGTGTTCACCACCACACATAAAGAGTGATTTTTTTCATAGTGCTAGAAAAGAAAAAGCTCAAATTCAAAAACTGAAATAAAGTATCTACTGAATGTTTCTCCACACTGTAAGTTGAAAATTTCATTAGTCAGGGGTTAGCTATAGATCCTCACATTATGGCTGCTGCCTACAAAAGTCATAACTCAAAGTTCTTTAAGACTTAAGGGTTATTTACAATTTCAGCTATGACGTTTTAAAAGAATGAGTTATACACTCAGAGGAGAACCAAAGTATAGCTATGGTGTTTTAGAGTGAAATTTAAAGGAGTAGGGAGATAATTTCAGTAGATAAAGCGTTTGTCATGCAAGCATGAGAACCTGAGTTCAGTTCCTAGTACTCCTGTACACAAAGAACATGTACAAACACACACACATATATAAAACAAAGGACAATTAACAACTGAGTTTTCAGGCAGGTATATCTCTTTGTGTTCAAGGTCAGCCTGGTCTACAGAGCTCTAGAACAGCCATGGCTGTTACACAGAGAAACCTTGTCTAGTAAAAACAAAAGCAAACAAACAAATGTAGTTTTCCTCTTTTATAGATAATATCAAATTATTTGCCTTTACAAATATAAGCCAAAGGGCTGGGTATGTTTTATAGTACTTGCAATACAGGTATGCATATAAATGTAAGCACATAACACATGTGATTATGAACTGTCATTCTCCACATCCAAATCTGAGATTCTCATTATATAAGCCCCATCATGATTAATAATATCTGCTGGTAGGAGCTATTATAGGCCTTAACTACCAAAAAAATCAAAAGACAAACACATTGATTCCTAATAGTACTGTTTGGGAGACTTAACAGACATTCCTCCTCAACCTTCTTATCAACTGTAATGCTTTATACATAGATATTAGTGAAAAAAAAAAACATCTTGTTCTCATGAGAGGCATCAGGGTGGTAGAGAAATTGTGTCACTGTACTCTGGAACCTGGACTTTAAATTATCTAGTGTTTGAAACTTTTAATGTTTGTTGGAAAATATTTAGAAGATACAAAGGAAACTTCATGTAATTATAAGCTATCACATTGCTTCTTGAGGGTTAATTTCTTCACCTGTGAAGTGGGACAATACAAATGTTTCAACATTAAATGAGATATCACATACAGCACGTCTAGTTAAAGTCTCTTTGTATGTAAACTCTCAATAGTAATGATTACAATTACTTTTATGTCTACTTTAGCTTTTGCTTCAAAATGAGTGACAAATGTACTCTATAGTTTGATACAGGGGCCATCTTTAATGTCAATAACTCTCTTGTCCTTATTTTCTTCCTTCTTCTTTGTGTTAGTCACTTTTGTGTTGTCATAGGGAAGAAATTTGAAGAAAAGAAATTTTAAAAAATGAAGAGGTTTGTTTGTTTGTTTTTTGGCTTTTGGTTTCACAGTCCTCAGTCCATTGACACTGGCTCTACTGGACCTGCACTGAGGCAGTACATTATAATGACAGTTATGGTACTACAGAGTTTCTCACTTTATGGGTATGAAAAGTAAATATGGATTGAGGAAAGTACCTAGCACAAAATATAGCACCCAAGAATATGCTCGCCTGAACCTATGGAGTTCTATAGAATCTATGGAGTTCTATCTCCTAAAAGTTCCACCACTTTTCAATAATATGAATTCACCAGCAGACCATTGCATTGATTAGGTAAGAAGCCTGATGATCCAGTCACTTGTTTAAAAAAATAATGTGCCTGTGTGTCTGTGTATACACCCATTCTACAGCATACATCTGAAGTCAGAGGACAACCTTTAGGAGTCAGTTCGCTTCTTCTATCATGTGAGTCCTGGGGATTGAATTCATTTCGGGAGGCTTGGCAGCAAGTACCTTTATCCACTGAGCTATCTTGCTGTGCCTTAATCATGTCTTTATGATTGGCTCTACCAGCTGGGGATCAAGAATTCAACATATGAGCCTTGTGATGGATACTTCCATATCCAAACTGTGACTTTTTTTTTTTTTGTTCCTTATATTTTGTGTTACTCAATTTTGCATTGTGACAGAGAGGAAATTCAAAGGAAAAGAATTTTAAAAAAGGAAGAAGGAACTGAAGATGTGTTCAGCTTTCAATATAACACTTATCTGATGTTTCAAACTCAAACATACCACGGGTTTATAGCATTTACATAAAACACCAAATTTCCTAAAGAAGGGCTCTGGGTGTAAAACTAGATGGTTTACAATCTTATACCCATACAGTATTTAAAGTACTTGTGGATACAGTAATGATTCAAAATGATATCACCTCTAAGGTGCATGATTACTGCAAACTTTTGTGATTCTAAGATTGTCTTCGATGCACAATAAAAATATTGTATTACTTGCTAAATGTTGTATAAATATTCATAATAATTTCACTTTAAAGACTCAGGAAGGAGACTGGGAACACAGCTAAGGGGTTAGGGGTGTTTGTTGTTAACCACTTGTTTCTGGTATTCATATGATGGATCAAAACCTGACTCCAATTTCAGGTTATTTGACACCTTCTGAATTCTGAAGGTACCAGGCATACATATGAAACACACACATACATACAGCAAACACATACAAATAAAATAAATGAATCTAAAACAGTTTTTCAAAAAAAAAATCTGGAGGTGGCTAGAGACATGGCTCAGGAGTTAAAAGTACTTGCTACTCTTCCTGAGGGCCTGAATTTAGTTCCTGGTAACCCATGACAGCTCACAGTAGTCCAAAACTCCAATTCCAGGAGATCCATGGCCTTAAACTGGTCTCCTTGGGCACTACACACAAGTGATTCTCAAATATACATGAAGGAAAGACACTTAGGACATCCAAACAGAAACAAACAAACAAACAAACAAATAATATAAAATTAAGAGGGAACAACCAAGATTAAAAAAGATTAGAGGGTTGGGTGTGATGATACAGACAGATCTCTGTGAGTTCAAAGCCAGCCTGGTTGGTCTACAAAAGGACAGCCAGGGTTCTGTAATATAGACAAACCTAATCTTGAAAACCAAACCAAAACCCAAACCAAATTTTAAAAACGTATGCCATCTGAACATGGTGACTGGTGATGTACACCTTTAGTCCCAGCACTCTGGAGACAGAGGGAAGAAGGAAGATTTGTATTAGTTTAAGGTGAGCCTGATGTACATAGTGAGTGCCAGGACAGCCAGGACTACATAGAAAGTGAGAAATTCTCTCTCTCTCTCAAAAAAAAATCTCACAGGAGTCATCTTAATTCTCCCCACCCCCAGGACAGCATCCTCAGTAATCCTCCACTGTGCTTTCCCTCTTCCAAGTTTCATCTTACTTTCTAAATCCTCACAGAAGAGTCAAGTTTTCAACACCCTAGTAAGGGGAGCAGGGACTATTTCTGACATGGACTCAATGGCAGGCTCTTTGACCTCCCCCCACCCCCAAGGGAGGCAGCCCTACTAGGCCACAGAGGAGGACTTTGCAGCCAGTCTTGAAAATATCTGATAAAACAGGGTCAGATGAGAGGGGAGGAGGTCCTCCCCTGTCAGTGGACATGGAAAGGGGCAGGAAGGAGAGGAGGGAGAAAAGGTGGGATAAGGAGGGCATGAGGGAGGGGGATACAGCTGGGATACAGAGTTAATAAAATGTAACTAATAATAAAAATAAAAAATTTTAAAAAAGAAAAAAAAATCATGATTTCCTTGTTTTTAATTGCTGAGTAGTATTCCATTGTGTAAATGCACCACAATTTCTGTATCCAATCTTTCGTTTAGGGACATCTGGGTTGTTTCCAGATTCTCACTATTATGAATAAAGTTGCTATGAACATAGTTGAGCACATGTCCTTATTGAATGGTGGGGCATCTTTTGGGTATATGCCTAGGAGTGTTATAGCTGGATCTTGAGGTAGCACTAGTCCTAATTGTCTAAGAAAGCACCAGATTGATTTTCAAAGGGGTTGTACAAGGTTACATTCCCACCAGCTATGGAGGAGGGTTCCCCTTTCTCTAAAACCTCTCCAGCATCCATCAGCTCTTGAGTTTTTGATCTTAGCCATTCTGATGGGTGTGAGGTGGAATCTCTGGGTCATTTTGATTTGCATTTCCTGAATGACTAAGGACACTGAGCATTTCTTTAAGTGTTTCTCTGTCATTTGATAGCCCTCCGTTGAGAATTCTCTGTTTAGCTCTGTACTCCATTTTTAAATTGGATTGCTTAGTTTGATGATGTTTAATTTCTTCAGTTCTTTATATATTCTGGATATTAGCCCTCTGTCAGATGTAGAGTCGGTGAAGAACTTTTCCCAATCTGTAGGCTGTCATTTTGTTCTGAATACAGTGTCCTTTACTTTAAAAAAGATTTTTGATTTCATGAGGTCCCATTTATTGATTGTTGATCTTAGAGCCTGTGCTGTTGGTGTTCTGTTCAGGAAGTTGTTTCCAGTGCCAATGAGTTCTAGGCTCTTCCCCACTTTTTCTTCTAACCAATTTATTTTGTCTGATTTTATGCTGAGTCCTTTGATCCACTTGGACTTTACTTTTGTGCAGGGTGATAAATATGGGTCTATGAGTGAGGTAACCCAGAAGCAGAAAGACACAAATGGTATATACTCACTTATAAATGGATATTAGTCGTATAATATAGGATAAACATAC